ATCGATGAGATGCTTATGATAAGCCGTTGTTTGTTTACCTTTAGGCTTTGCGTGTGCCTGTGAAACAGCCTGTGAGCGCCTGCACACGCACATATTATGAACATCTCGACATGCGAAAGTGATCCTGCGAAAGTTGTTCACAATATTGATCATCCACAGAGTTTTTCATTTACTCAAATGTTTACAAATACAAGCGCAGCCGTTTAAAGCTCATTTGTGGTGAATGATGTCAGAATTTACCGGTATTTTGGAATGGATGTGTGAATGCTCTTTTCCAGGAAAATTTCCGTAACGTCCTCGCCTGTGTGAACAGCGCTTTTTTCAATATACCGGTAAAGTCGTTCCGGAAATTTTCCAGAAATTTACCGGTATCACTGTGTGAAAGGGGCTATTGTGATGCATGTGCTCGTTTGGATGTTTCAATATAGGAAATATACAGTTGAAGTCAAAATTTCCTTCAATACTTTTTCGTCTGGAGAAAGTCTTATTTGTTTTATTTCGGCTAGAACAAATGCAGTTCTTAATTAAAAAAAAAAAAAAAAAACATTTTAAGGTCAGTATTATTAGCCCCCTTACAAGACAAAAATGCTTAGGAAAATATTTACATTTAATATAAATCCACATTTTTAGTGTGACAATGGTTTCACTGTGAGACATGTGCTTGTTTGGATGTTTAAATTTAGAATATATATATATATATATATATATATATATATATATATATATATATATATATATATATATATATATATATAGAGAGAGAGAGAGAGAGAGAGAGAGAGAGAGAGAGAGGGGGGGGGGGGGTATGAAGAAAAACACACACACATACACGCGCACACGTATATCTATGTGACGCGTGATGCTGTTCGCCCCCTTTTCTCCGTCACCAGCACACGTCTGCATGTGTCCCTGTGGGCTTGTTGCTGGAGGAAGAACAAAGCAGATACTCACCTCATCCACCTTCATTAAACAGCTATTTATATTCTCAGGGCTGAATTCCTGTGACCTTTCTCATTAAGGGATGTGTCATTTGTGAACACAAACACCCGTGGACATGTCGTGAGATGCTTTAGATGTTGGTTAAAAATAGCCGAGCTGCAATATTTGTATTTGGTGACTGCTTTTTTTATGTGTTTGTTTTTTGTATATTTGGCATCCTCTGCTTCTTACTCTCTGTCAACATTCAGTCAATCTGTTCCTGTAACATGTGGTCATTGTTTACATGTTTGTCAATGAAAATCACAGCATCTGTTAATGCAAAAAAGGACCAAAACATACAGTTGTGAACACAAACACCTGTGGGAACATTGTGAGATGCTTTAGATGTTGATTTAAAATAGTCGAGCTGCAAAATTTACATTTGGTGACTGCTTTTTATTTGTTTGTTTTTTTAGTATTTGGCATCCTCTGCTTCTTATTCTTGGTCAACATATTGGTCAGTCAGTGTGTTCCTGTAACGTGTGGCCGTTTTACATGTTTATTAAGGAAAATAACAGCATCAGTTAATGCAAAAACGACCAAAACACACAGTTGTGAATGTAAACACCCATGTGCATATTGCTAGATGATTTATATATTTATTTATTATTTGGTTGGTTGTTTTTTTGAATATTTGGCATCCTCTGCTTCTTACTCTTGGTCAACATTTAGTCAGTCAGTGTGTTCCTGTAATGTGTGTCCATTGTTAACATGTTTGTCAATGAAAATAACAGCATCTGTTAATGCAAAAATCACCAAAACATACAGTTGTGAACACAAACCCCCATTGGTTAAAAAACGCCGAGCTACAATATTTGCATTTGGTGACTGTTTTTTTGTTTATTTGTTTTTTAATTATTTGGCATCCTCTGCTTCTTACTCTTGGTCAACATTTAGTCAGTCAGTGTGTTCCTGTAATGTGTGTCCATTGTTAACATGTTTGTCAATGAAAATAACACTCTTAGTTAATGCAAAAACGACCAAAACATACAGTTGTGAACGTAAACACCCGTGGACATATCATGAGATGCTTTGGGTGTGGTTTAAAAATAGCCGAGCTGCAATATTTGTGTTTGATGGCAGTTTTTATTTTACATTTATTTATTTGTTCTTTGAATATTTGGCATCCTCTGCTTCTTATTCTTGGTCAACATATTGGTCAGTCAGTGTGTTCCTGTAATGTGTGGCCATTGTTTACATGTTTATCAAGGAAAATAACAGCATCATTTAAGGCAAAAATGACCAAAACAAAGTTGTGAATGTAAACACCCACGGGCATATTGCTAGATGCTTTAGATGTGGGTTAAAAATAGCCGAGCTGCAATATTTGTATTTGTTGACTTTTTTTTATTTATTTTTTATGGTTGATTGGTTTTTTGAATATTTGGCATCCTCTGCTTCTGATTTCTGGTCAACATTTAGTCAGTCAGTGTGTTCCTTTAATGTGTGGTCATTGTTTACATGTTTATCAATAAAAATAACAGCATCTGTTCATGCAAAAATCACCAAAACATACAGTTGTGAACACAAACACCCGTGGAAACATCATGAGATGCTTTGGATGTGGGTTAAAAATAGTCGAGCTGCAAAATTTACATTTGGTGACTGCTTTTTATTTGTTTGTTTTTTGAGTATTTGGCATCCTCTGCTTCTTATTCTTGGTCAACATATTGGTCAGTCAGTGTGTTCCTGTAACGTGTGGCCATTGTTTACATGTTTATTAAGGAAATTACAGCATCAGTTAATGCGAAAATGACCAAAACACACAGTTGTGAATGTAAACACCCACAGGCATATTGCTAGATGATTTAGATGTGGGTTAAAAATAGCCGAGCTGCAATATTTGTATTTGTCGACTGTTTTTTTATTTATTTTTTATGGTTGGTTGGTTTTTTTGAATATTTGGCATCCTCTGCTTCTGATTTCTGGTCAACATTTAGTCAGTCAGTGTGTTCCTGTAATGTGTGGTCATTGTTTACATATTTGTCAAGGAAAATAACAGCATCTGTTATGCAAAAATCACCAAAACATACAGTTGTGAACACAAACACCCGTGGACACATCATGAGATGCTTTGGATGTGGTTTAAAAATAGCCGAGCTGCAATATTTGTGTTTGTTGACTTTTTCATTTTTTTTTTTACTTTTATTTGTTTGTTTTTTAAATATTTGGCATCCTCTGCTTCTTACTATTGGTCAACATTCAGTCAATCAGTTCCTGTAATGAGTGGCCATTGTTTACATGTTTATCGTTGAAAATAACAGCATCAGCTAATGCAAAAAATGACCAAAAATCATATCAAAATGTCCATCATTGCGAAGTATATATCTCAAGTACATATCGGTTTAGTTTGCCGTTTTATGAACATGACAGTAATAATATGGAGCAATGACATATTGGCGCTGGCTTTCATCAGACAAAAATAATATAAGGATGCTATAGCCTTTTGTTACTCAGAAGACAACACAATAGGCTATTTTGGATATTTGAAGCATGGATATTAAAGATATTCTATCGTTAGGGATTTATGGTCAGCTAAACTTCTAAACAACCCCTATTCAAACAATTTATTCTAAAGCACTAATTCAGGAAGTATTGCAAATGTTTTTTTTTTGCTGATTTTTGCAGCCTGTTTGAACTTTAAAGTTCAGATTATATCCATACTTAATTTTATATACATTCAGGCCTATTTTAATAAAATAGAAAAAAATATATAATAATCCAATATAAATAAAATGGTGTAAAATTTGATAATAATATTAATTAGTAAATTAATAATAATAATAATAATAATATATATATATATATATATATATATACTTTTGTGAGGTAGTGACTGCTTCTTTATTTGTTTGTTATTTGATTTGATTATTTGGCTTCTTACTTTTGGTCAACATTCGGTCAGTCTATTTCTGTAATGTGTGGTCATTGTTTACATGTTTATCAAGGAATATAACTGCATCAGTCAATGCAAAAATGACCAAAACACCTATCGATAAATTGGGTTTTGTGTGTATGAGCGATAGATGTGGTTGAGGCTGGATTTAATTGGATTCTGGACTTTTCTGTTTTGGAAAGGTATTGATTGGATCCTTTGCCATAGGCTTTGACTCACTCAGGACAAGGGTCAACTCTGACAGGCAGATGGATATGATGACAGACTGAATTGCAAATTTAGATGACTAATCAAATATTTATTTCTAATTTAGTCTGCTCTGACTTACTTCCTTACTTACTACTGACTTACTTAACAATTGTTTTAATACATTTCATTCATTCATTTTCTTGTTGGCTCAGTCCCTTTATCAATGTGGGGTTGCCACAGAGAAATGAACCGCCAACTTATCCAGTATATGTTTTACACAGCGGATGCCTTTCCAGCTGCAACCTATCACTGGAAAACACGCATATACTTTCATTCACACACAATTTAGTCTACCTTATTCACCTATACCACATGTCTTTGGACTTGTGGGGGAAACCGGAGCACCCAATGGAATATAATACATTTTAACAATTATTTTTAGAGTACACTCACAAAAAAGTAACAATAATGGATGTATAAAATATTTTCATTCAATATAAAATACTATTAACTGCCAGGCTTTACTCATTTGTCTGCCAGAGGTTTTTAATATTTTTAAAATATATAAAATAAAGTATAAGATCATTTATTTTTCTATAGATTTTGATAAGCACAAGTAAGAATAAGTGTGTTGTCAGATTTTTACATAAATATCTATCTAAAATTAATTCACTCATATTTTTACACTTATTTTCATAAAGATAATTGATAATATGCTTGCTGTGTGTATTTACAATAACTCTTGTATGTTTCAATTTATGTAGACGAAAGTGGAACTATTTGTTTTTTACTTAAAATTTAAGACATTTTATTTATTTTTTTTGCAAACTCATAGAACAAGAAATGTTGAAAATGACATTTTTAAAACTCCATTTTCGCAATAAAATATTTTCTTCCTTTATTGATTTGGATATAATTAAAAAACATTAATCTTCAAACTAACGGTGCATTAATCGCCTTTACTGTCTTATGTTTACACCAATTCTCTGTTTAAACAGATACAGTGAACTTGATTTTCCCTTTAAGCTCCTCCTTCCTCAGTCGCTGTATATTGCAACAAACCTGAAACTATTTGATAGATAAAATATTACATCTTAAAATGTTTAAATATCCATATTTTTCATCTTAAATGCACTGTCAGAGCAAAAACGTGCTTTTTTGTGACGAACTTTATTCTTTGCCCTTAGAAATGTTAGTGCTAAGACAAGCATACTGCCTGCTTTCGGTTTTGCATGACTGCAAAACAATACAGCTCACGCGTTTTCATTTCCGATCTGATTTAACGCGTCGCCGCATCGCGAACGCGCTCCGTTCTCCATTGTTTGCCTGGACCTGTGCGGGAAAGCCCAGCGCTGTTCGAGGGGCACAACGTGACCTAACAAACAAGGAACCTCCGGGAACACCGTCAGTCCTGAACTATGCGCACAAGGGGCCCATCTGAGGGATCCCGGGACCAGCGACACTTGGAAATGACGCTTAAAACACGCATTTGAATCCGCCGCTCCGTGAAATATCATTGATTTCGTCTCAGTGTTGTGTTTATGATCAATCCTAGACATATTAATCTCCCAAATGGTGTTTAATGTATTTGATTGGACTGTTCAATCGGCCGTCAGGACACTCCCTTAACGCGTTTGCTCGGCTTGGGAGGCGGAGACGGGACCCCCGTTGACGTCAGTGGGCCTGTCGGTTTCCTGCAATAGAAAGTGAGAGAAGATACAGCGAGAGAGAGGAAAAACAGACCTCTGACCGTTGAAACCCTTGACAACAGTTCAGACTGCACATGTAAGTACCAAAAGTTAAGAAATACACGCGTTTTAATAAGCGTTTGTACGCATCGTCCTGTGCGTAGCTAACACACGCGGCGCGTAAACACATCTCCAAGTGCTGCTGTTTCGGGACACAATGTTTCCAAAAGAGATTTGTACGGGTTGCTTAAAGTTGTGAGCATGTTTGCGTGAGTTTTACTGCGATTTTGGGGCTGCTCTCAATCGCTCTGTTGCGAGCCGGCCCGTGTTTTGTATCTCGCCGAGATCGCACGTCTCCAGAATCCTAATACGCGGGGTGTAAATGTTTATCAAGCCCGCAACGCTGCTGGAGAGAGTCGCCGGAGCACCTCGCGCGACGGCAGGTAAGCGCTAAAACACCTTCCGCTGACCGCGGGACGCACGCGAACGCGTTCAGGATGCGTTTTGCACGTCTTCGGAGAATTTAAAGGGCATTTTGTTGTCGAATTAGGGAAGTGTTTCTCGCTCATGTCCTGTTGCAGAGGGGTTTTCCCCGGCTCCGCCCTCTTCATGTGTTTCTTAAAGGCAGTAATGCGCCATTCATCCTGTGCGCACCTGGATTTAGCTCTGTGGCTTTTATTGGAAAGCTGCTGGTTTGTATCAATGAGCTTTTTAGACACACGGTGACTCATCGCATGCGGCTCTTATAGGCTGTAAGCATGTCAGATTGGCACTGGCATGGTCTGCCTTTCAGGAGCGACCCCAGTTTAGTGCCATCTTTTTTCTTTGCCAGTGCATGCCAAGTAGGCTACGCATGTGCCCCATGTGCAGCAGTTTCTGTTGGCTCTGTTTGCCTGGTTTCAGGGTGTTTCCTGATGCCTTGATTGGCAGATTCTTCGCATTTATGCATTCACCCGATGCATGTCAAAGTGTGCTGTTTATTATTGTGTGTGTGTTCCCTTGCAATCAGTCCTCTGACCTTGGTGTTGGTGCTCTCATTTGTTACCAGTTGAACCGTAAGCAAAGCATTCCAATCCTAAAACAACACACTGTTCAATTTCTACAGCACCACTGTGTCGTTCTGACACTAAATAAAGTAATTTTTTAGATTCTGCAGCAGCATTATGATTCTGCAACAATGCTCTGTTTCTGCTGCAATCTTTTTAACATTCCAGTTCTGATAACGTGTTCAGATGCTGCCGTGCATTATAACATTTCATTTTTGAAGTAATGTGATATTTAGTTTATAAAATAACATTACATTCCTTTCAAAAATGCAGTGATATTGGAACTGTTACCGCAGAAGATTTCACCACAATCCAGCGTCATTATGTTCTCTCATAACTGTAATTGTAACATTTAATTTCTGAAATTACATATTGACATTCTGCAACTCACCGCACAATTCCAGTTTCTAAATATTCAGATTGCTGTAACATTCAGATTTGGGAATAATGTTGTTGATATTCAATAATATAGTATATTCTATGTTTTAATTCTTTAGTAACATCCTGTCAAATTCTGCAGCAATATTCTGTTTTTAGAAATATGTATTATTCAATTTCTGCATTACAATTCTCACTGTTTTAAATCTTTTTTTTGTAACATTCTGTTTTTAGAAATATGTCATATTTAATTTGAGTTAAAGTTCTGATTTTAGGTCTTTTAGTAACATTCTGTTCCTGTCTAATATTTAATTTCTGTGTTAGAATTCAGATTTTTTAAAAAGTATTTTTAATACTGTTCTGTTTTTAGAAATAAATATGACATTTCTGCCTTAAAATAAATTTTTTTTTTGAAGTCTCTTAGTAACATTCTGGTTTTAGAAATTTGAAATGTTTAATTTCTGTGTTAAATATTAGATTATTTTAAGTCTCTTTGTAACATTCTGTTTTTTAGAAATATGTAATATTTAATTTTTGCATTAAAATTCAGATTTTTTAAGTCTAATTTTTAAAGATATTTAAATTCTAAAATAACATAACGTTCCTTTCAAAAATGCAGTAATATTGGAATACTGCAGAATTTGAAGGTTGCACCACAATCCAGCCGTCATTATGTTCTCTCAATACTGTAAACGTAACATTTAATTTCTAAAATAACATATTGACATTATGCAACTTACCGCACTGTTCCAGTTTCTTAACAATATTCAGATTCCTGTTACATTCAGATTTGAGAATAATGTTGTTGATATTCAATAATATAGTATATTCTATGTTTTAATTCTTTTGTAACATCCTGACAAATTCTGCAGCAATATTCTGTTTTTAGAAATATGCAATATTCAATTTCTGCATGAAAATTCTGATTGTTTCAAGTCTTTTTTGTAACATTCTGTTTTTAGAAATATGTCATATTTAATTTGAGTTAAAATTCTGATTTTAGGTCTTTTAGTAACATTCTGTTCCTGTCTAATATTCAATTTCTGTGTTAGAATCAGATTTTTAAGCCTTTTTGTAACACTCTGGTTTTAAGAAGTCTCTTAGTAACATTCTGGTTTTAGAAATTTGAAATATTTAATTTCTGTGTTAAAATTCAGATTATTTTAAGACTTTTTGTAAAACTCTGGTTTTTAGAAATATGTAGTATAAAAATTTTGCATTAAAATTCAGATTTTTTAAAAAGTCTTTTATAACATTCTGTTTTTTAGAAATAAATATTACAGTTCTGCCATAAAATTAAGATTATTTTAAGTCTCTGTAACACTGTGGTTTTAGAAATATGTAAAATTACATTTCTGAATTAATATTCAGATTAGTTTTAAGTCTTTTTAGTAACATACTGTTTTTAGAAAAAAAACCATAACATTTCTGCTTTAAAATTCAGATTTTTTGAAGTCTCTTAGTAACATTCTGGTTTTAGAGATGTCATATTAAATTTCAACATTAAAATTCAGACTTTATAAAGTTTCTGTAACATTCTTTTCTAGAAAAATATATTCATTTTCTATGTTAAAATTCAGATTTTTTAAAAGTCTCATTTGTAATATTCTGTTTCTACAAATATGTAATATTCAATGTAATAATATTCAGATTTTTAAAGTCTTTTTAGTAGCATTGTGTTTTTAGAAGTATGTAATATTCAATTTCTGCTGCAACAATCAAATTTCTGACTGCTTCAAATCTCTTTAGTAACATTCAGATTAACATTTGACGTTATTATGTCAAACCACAATCCTGTCATATTCTAATTATAAAATGATGTCATTTTACATTAAAAGTCTTTTATAAAAAGACTTTTTATAAATAACCAAAAGATAATGTGTAATATTGTTCTGTAAGATTTCAATGTAATATTAAAACAAATATGTTAGATAAATTGAGTTTTACTATTTTATACTTCTCATAATGAAGAAACGATGCATTATTAGTACTTTTAAAATACATTTGTCACATTTTAGAAGATTTACAATGAATGAATAAACCAACAAAAGTGTTTAAAGATATACTCGGACCAACAACTTTTTATCTGGATAAATACATAAACAGTTGAAGTCAGAATTATTAGCACTCCTGTTAAATTTTAACTCTTTATATATTTTTTTAATTATATATGTTTAAATAGGCAAGTTAGGGTAATTTTAGGGTAAAAAATTGCTTGAGGTAAAAAGGACTACAAATATTGACCTTAAATGATTTAAAAATAATAAAAATTGCTTTTATCCTCGCCTAAATAAAATAAATTTCTCTAGAAGAGCAAAAATATTATCGGAAAAACTGTAAAAATTTCCATAAGTTATTAAATATCACTTGAGAAATATCAGAAAAATGCTAAATATTGCACAGGAGGGCGAATAATTTCCCCCCTTAACTGTATATCACCTCAAAACAGTAAAAGAAAACTGCAGCTCTCAAAATGTCAAGTGCGTTTCTCTGCGGGAAGACATGCAAATACACCCCACGTTCGACACAAGACGCCCTTTGTT